TTCTATGTCACCTTGTTGGATTTATCCTGTTCCGCAGTTATGGGATAAAATTGGCTCACCCGCTGTCGATGATGAGAACTGTTGTTAGAAAAAAACACACACAAAACAAACTAACACACAATCCTCCCAGATTCCACGGAACTTGTTTATGGACTTTGCCTCCTAGAACAGTGGAGTGGTCTGGTTGTTCATGGGGTGGTACGTATAACAATCCTTCAAAGTAAAACCCAGAGATGTATGGGTGTGGGTTTTGAGGAGGAGGGATAGTTGGAATATAGAAAGATAGGGGCTTTGTGGCGAGTATAGACGAGCACTACCTTGCTAATTGTAGCACAAGGTAGGTTTGAGAATGACAATGTGACGAGGTGACAAAGTTCCCAGTGATAGCAGGCTCCTGACGCACAGACTGTAGTGCTCAGAAGGACTCTAATTGAAAGGGATAACAATCACTTTTGAAAAGTGACGAGTGACAATGACAGCAGTTGACAGTGGTAGCAGTGGGAAGTGTTCTGACCACACTGGATCACAAGTAGTAGTGAGTAGTGAACTTGAGATTAGAGAAGAAGTCTGGATTCGAGTTCTTGTTTTTTTTTTTTACAAGGTAAAATACAGGGGTTTATATAGTGAAAGAAAAGTAGGCTATACACAGTATAGCTGTGCAAAAGAAAATGAGAAAGAACATGAAGGAAGGAATGTACACTGACAAATCCTGCGTAGGTAGTACAGGATAAGATTATCAAAAAAAGGAAAAGAAAGGGATAGAACAATAAATGCTGTGAGTAATGTCACAGGTTTGTACAGCCATAAAGTAAAGTCCAATAGCAAAAAGAGAGCAGGAAAATCATGATGTCATGGGAAGATACAGTAAAAAAAGGGCAAGGCAAAACATTATCAGTATCAACACAGTTCCTTTATTGTCAGTCAGGCATTCTAAAAAATATGTGTCCATAAAAATGATTCAAAAACCAAAAATAATTGCACTGTAAATGAATGTTCTGCTGAAAAAAAGAAACTGGAGCCACCGGTCCACCACCTAGTCCAAATCCAACAGTTCCATGGCCTTACCAATGGACTGGTTGTGTTGGACCACCTGGTCAAACGAGGGAGGGAGAGGAGTAGTCCCAATTTGGAACAAGTGAGTCCCAGGCAGCGTGTGGTAGGTGTAGCTGTAGCGAAGACGATGGACAAAAGATAAGTGTACCCAAGTGAATGGGACAGCAATGAACATGGGCAACGCAAGGGGATGAACCTTCTCCAGCTCAAAAACTACCCACCCACGCTCTAACCAGGCAAGACGAGCAACTGATGTTTTGATAGTATATGATGGTAGATTGACATCATAAAGATGTACCTGTTGCCCTATTTGAACTGGCTGCCAGGGCTTTGCTGATATCAGCAGTGGCATGTGGTAGTCAACGGATTGGCGACGGAAGCGGATAGGAAGTGGTGACATCAGAAATGGTGGGGGAGCAAAGAAGATGAGGAGGAGGAGGCTGGAGGTGACGAGGAGGTGAACTAAAATGGGGATCCAGAAACGACTGTCGGGTGAGAACAAAAACGAGAGTAAGGGACCCATGGTGAGCGTGACTGGATTGCCTAATAGAGGTGGTGCTGATCAGCCACAAGTTTGAAAAAGGCAATATTAAATACTATTCCACATGGCACTGTGCCTGTGTGGTGCAAAGGCGAGTCTTTTTGAATATTTGCTTCGTTATTGACACCTGTCCATGCTACCAATCAACTTTGGTGCATGACACCGCATGGCACAGGGTGTGAAAACTACAGTAGAAAGTTAAAGAGGAGAATGAAAATTAAAAGTCCGAAAATTGTGTATCGTAACAGTAACTAGCTCCACTGCATGAGAGAGTTTGTATCCAAAAATAAAGGAAAGTAGTGCAACACGAGAAAGTGGTGTTGAAACAAAAGGAAAGTGCCACATGGCACAAGTGTGTGAAAACTAAGAAGAAAAGTTAAAGCGGAGAAAAATAAAGATGTAAGTCCAAAAATCATGTATTGTAACATTATATGAGAACTGGGCTATTTTTAGCCACTTGGCCCAATCTGTCTGCCTATCATTATTAAATATACAGAGATACTGTTTCAATTCCTGGTCGAGCCTCTCTGTTTGTCTATTAGTTTGTGGATGGAACACTTTTGATAATTTAGGTTTGATGCTGAGCATCCAGCATAGTTTTTTTTATAAATTTGCTAGCAAGTTGAGGTCCCCTATTGGAAATTACTGTTTCTGGTAATCCCTGGGTAGTGTAAGGCAATGCTAAACAAAAACAAAAACAAAACCTATCTCTCAACACTTGTAGGGAGGAGGAGGTCAACAAGTTTGGATGTTGATAGATGCAAGAGATTATCACAGGTCAAGGATGAGGTTGGACTCGAAGTATTTCTGATATGGAGTAACAAAAAGCTAAAGAATTATACATAGATATGTAGGGTTTTTTATAGCAAATTGTCTATCTCCTCAGACTGAAAGAGGAATAAAGAAAAGTGGTCTAAGGAAGTAACTAGTCAATAAAAAAAATAATAACTGTTGTACGACTTTAAGGATTAATCAGCTGGTGAGAATGAGTTGTTAATAGGTTTGTCAGGCTATAGTGAGAAATAGTATCACCATTATAGGGTGCTATTCCTGACTGTTGCCTATATTATTATTTCCAGGTAAGAATTAAATCTGTGAGCTAAATAGCTAGAGTTCTACTTACTCTCCTAATTGCTGTGCTGGGTGGCTGAGATGCCTACCTATTTTCTGAGCTATGGTATGAAGTGGTAACAATGGTTAAAAAATCCAAAGAGAGGGAGAACAAGAAGAATTGCAAAGAAAACTTCTTACCCTAAGGCTAGTGGTGAACTGGGAAAGCATTTAAAAACCAAGACATAGAAAATAAAGATGGGAAAGTGAAATGATCCTGACAGATAGACCATACAGAATCTTTAAATAAATAAATCTGCTGTTCCCATGGCTGTATAGTTTTATTTGTGGGTATAAACACAATTTTTTTGGAGAAGTGGTCCACCACCACTATTACTGAATCATACCCATTTGACTTGGGCAGAACCGTTGTGAAATCAACCAATATATCCTACCAAGGACCAGCTGGTATCAGATTTGGCATAATTTTACTGGCCAGCGGTTGATGCGAGTTCTTTGCCATAGCACAGCACAGACAAGATTTTATGTATTCTTGTATGTTTTTGACCATGCCAGGCCACATGTAATTTCTGGAGATCAACTCCATTGTTCATTGCCACCCAGGGTGCCAAGCCACTGGAGTGGTGTGATGTCTATCTAAAGCCTCAATCCTTGGGAACTCAGGCACATAAATTTTGTCTTTGTAATGGAAGAGCCCATCTTTCTATAAATAATGTTCATTGCCACCAGGGTGCACTTTCTCTTCTGATGAGATGTCTTTCCTGAAGACTTCTAGAAGATTGTGATCCTGCCCTATTGAATATTGTAAACCCTGGATTGATCTATCAGGGTGACACCTTTGTTGTCATCTTCTACGCCATTGACATGATCTTCTTTTTTAAAAAGCATCAGTTTTTCCCATAGAAATTTCTGGCTTATGAATTAATTTGTAGTTAAATCTAGACAAGTACACTGTGTAGCAAGCCTGTCTTTGATTCAAGTCCCAGGCCATCATAAGTTACTCCAGATTCTTATGATCAGTTTAGATTTCAAATTGGTGCCTGGCACCTTCTAAATAGTGCTGCCAATGCTCTAACACTCTAATGATGGCCAGCATCTCTTTGTAACAACCAAGAGTTAGTTACTCTGGCGCACAACTTAGACAAGAAAAAAAGGAATACCAATCAACAATATGTACCGTTAACTGGTCAGAGAGTAATGAAAGGGATCACCCCTTAGGTTTCAACAAGTTAGTTGTGAGGATACAACAGGAGGACTGGCTCAGTCCTTCCCCAAGATATATTGGGGTTTATATACTAATACAGGTTTTTTTGTACATATGTATTGTACAGTTGCTAGAGGCAGTGGCTGCTAATGTCATGGGGCCTAGCCCGTGTGACCAGCTCCACTGCGTGAGATACTTGTAGCTAAAATAAGAATAAAGGCAGTGCCGCGCAAGAAAGGTTACAGTACAAGTTTAAAGCGGATAATGAAAATTAAAGGAAAGGTCCGAAAATAAAAAGTAAGGTAAATGGTCACATGACTGGTCATGTGACTTGGAAAAAATAAAAGTAAAGTATGAAAAGTAAAGTGTGAGTAGGTACTGGTACGTCAATTGTAACACTCTTTGTCGTGAATTTGATAGTTGCACTCCGTAGGTAACAAACTATGTGATAAATAGGCACAAAGCCTCCAAAGATTGTCAGGGCATTTGATTGACAGAATAGCCCCAGTAACAAAATCAGAAGAGTTGGTTTCTAACTGAAACTCTTTGCCTAATTCTGAAAATGCTAATATGGGAGCTGTTGTAAATGCCTGTTTGAGCTTGTCAAAAGCTTCCTGTTCTTTAGTGCCCCAACGCCAGACAATGTCATTTTTTGTGAGATTGTTCAATAGTTTCATGATCTTCACAAAGGTTTTGACAAATCTTTGGTAGAAGTTGCCTAAGCCAAGGAAGGCCCTAACTCCTTTGATGTGAGTAGGTTCTGGCCATTCCAAAATGTCCCGTTCTGAAGCAATTGAGCAAAAATTCAATAAGAAAGTTGAGATCATTGCTGACCCCGGCACTTTCAAAAGAGACCGGGCTTGATTTGCTGAATGGTGGATCAAGCTCCAAATTTGGATCAAGGCAAACTGGGATGTGTTTGCTGATGATTTTGAGATAGCAGCAGCTGTGCTATCAAGACTCAAAGGACCTGTGGCGGGTCAATATGCCCAAGTATGACTCAAGGAGTGCTATACCACTGGTCACTGGCCTACCTGGGATGAGTTGAAAATTGAAATTGAAAAATATTTCAAACCAAAAGCTGAGTGTAACTGGGCATGCCAGTAAATCCGTATCTTCAAGCAAGGAAACATGAGGACAGATGACTTTGTTACCTGGTTCCTGGCCCTCTCCATCCAAGGGGGTCTAGGTAATGAACATGCAGTAGAGCTGCTGGAACGCAATGTGTCACCAGCCATTGCACAACAGCTTTACATACAGGATATGAGAAGCGAGAACCTCTCACAAGCTGCAGAAGAGGTTCACAAAATAGGTAGGGCCATTAAAGTCTACAAGATGCAATTTGGGGGCGGGCCCACCACCAAAAACAACTCTTCCCAGAGGAGCCCTGGGTCATCAAAACAAAATAGCCATCACTCTCACGGGTTCAAGCCGTTTGGGCTACAGCCAGGACAGGGTGCTCCTATGGATATCGGCACGGTCCAAGGCGGACAGATGTGCAGATTCAAGGGCAACTGTTACAACTGTGGCCAAGAGGGACACATGTCCCAAGACTGTAAAAATGGGGCACAGGCCACTCAACAGAAAGGGCGCTAATTAGAAACATAAAAGCCAGACGATTGGCTCAATACTCTGGCCAGTCATTCATACGACGAAATCCGAGCCTTCTTTTACGACCAACAGGTCGCTGAGATGAAGGCTCAAGGAAAAGAGTTTGGAGCTTAGGTCACTTGGGTGCCTTTGCTTCTCGTAACAATGAAGTAAACCACAACAAGGTGGGCCCTGCTCCAGGGTGTTGCATGAGCAATAAAGGAAAGGGGGTGGCTTCCAAATTTGTAATTAGATTTTTAAATTTGCTATCTGAAGTATGTACTTGTATGAAGAATTGTGACTGTAATATTTATGATACTACCACTGCACCAGCGCCATCTCAGGAGTGTGGATTGACTAATTCACCAGCAATTTCCCAGAGCATGACGAACAAGATTGTGACAACGCCAACAAGACACAGTTTTGGGGCACTGGAGCACAATGAAAACAACACTCAAAAGAAGAGGAAGAGGTGGGAGTGGTTACCCATTAGGTCTCAACAAGTTAGTTGTTGGTAGACAACATGAGGACTCGCTAAGTCCTTCCCCATGTATTGCTCCTGTATATATACTAAAATACATGAGGTATCGTACAGTTGTAAATAGAGTTTAAAGTCTGATGTTTGAGCATGTGACCGGTCACATGATGAGTCTAGACATTGGTCAGGTGTTGTGTCACATGACTGGTCATGTGACTATGAAAAGTTTGAAAATGTAAAGTAAAGTAAATGGTCACATGACTGGTCATGTGATTTGGAAAATGAAAAGTAAAAGTACAAAAAGGTGAAGTGTAAGTAGGTACTGGTACGTCAATTGTAACAGAAATCTTTGCGGATATGGAAAACTGTGTCGTCATTTACATTGTCGATTTATTAATATTTACAAAGTCGGACAATGAGGCTGAGCATGACAGGATCATTCAAGAAGTCCTTCAACGCTTACAGGAACAGGACCTATTCGTCAAACCCGGAAAATGTAACTTTAAGGTGAAGGAAGTAGACTTCCTCAGTATGATAATAGGCCAGAACGTAATCAGGATGGATCCTGAGAAAGTTCAAGCTATTTTAGATTGGCCTGAACCTACTTGCGTCGAAGGAGTTAGGGCCTTCATTGCCTTAGGCAATTTCTACCGAAGGTTTGTTGAAAACTTGGCAAAAATAATGAGGCCATTGAACGATCTCACCAAAAAAGATGTTGTCTGGCATTGAGGCGCCAAAGAACAAGAAGCTTTTGATAAGCTTAAAAGGGCATTCACAACAGCGCCCATGTTAACATTTCCAGACTTAGACAAAAAGTTCTGGCTAGAAACTGACTCTTCTGATTTTGCTACTAGGGCTGTTCTATCCATTAAATGCCCTGACAATTTTTGGAGGCCTTGTGCCTATTTATCACATAGTTTGTCGCCTACAGAGCACAAATATCAAATTTACGATAAGGAGATGCTGGGCATCATTAGAGCTCCAGAGCACTGGCAGCACTACTTAGAAGGTGCTAAGCACCAACTTGAAATCTGGAGTATTTTATGACGGCCCAAGACTTGTTCCGAAGACAGGCCCGCTATGCGGTGTACTTGTCTAGCTAGGTTTAATTATAAATTAATTCACAATCCAGGTACTTCTATGGGGAAAGTGGACACTTTATCTAGAAAAAAGGATTATGCCAATGGCATCAAAGATGACAACAAAGGTGTCACCCTGATAGATCAATCCAGGGTTGCCAATGTTTGAATCGGGCAAGACTCCAATCTTCTTGGTGCTCAACAATGATTTGGGCTGGGTGGTAGTTTCCCTGCTGACTCTGCTGCATCGTTCCCAATAGCAAGACTCGATGGTTTGAGCAATGGTCCATAACTCTGCAAGGGAGTCTGGTTTTCCAATGTGGGAGATTTTGTCTTTGATCCTTGCAGAGAGTCCTTTATAGAACTGATGTTGGAGTTGTTAGTTTTGGTGATTCTGCACCTTTGTGCTACCTCTATATTTTCATTCCTTTCTCTATCTATCCCTCTACCATTCAGTACTGATTGTGTTCTCTATTATTTCGCCTTTGTGGCTGCTTTGTTTACCTTTGTCTACAAAACATCGGACAGTACTGCAGAGTCCAATGCTTCCTATTCTCTAGTTACTCACATTGGACTCTAGGTACTGTATACCTGTCATACTCTCTAATAATAAAGTTACTCACATTGGACTCTAGTTTCCAGTCCCTGATTGCTCTCAGCAAGTGGCTAGACACTTCCTTCAAGCTTTGTTCTTAATAGATAATTCATTGTTGTTTAATGGTGACTCTGGAAGAGGTGTATGCTGACGAGAAAGGCTGGATGTTAGTTTGCGGTTGTGGTCAAGGCCTTGAATATATGCATTTTTCTGAATTTCCTGGAATTTCAGAGGCCAGCCTTCTCCAAGGTTGTGGCCATCTAATGCAACACCTTTTGACCTAGAAGATCATTCAGTTAGATAGAACATATCTGAGCCAAACTGGTCTTACATTAAGATTACATGAGCCCGGAGTATATGCCGCAATTCACTCAGTCCTCCGAGAGTTACTATGCAGCATGACTCCTACACCATCGCCAGGTTTGAAAACATGACGCAAAATAGATAAGGGGAGATTGTAGCTAAGCTGGTCTTCAGGGAAAGCGACAACAGCAGACCGATTGACGTGATCAACAGATAGCAAATTGCCCTGCTTGGATTGAAACTCTCCGGTTATTACGGAGACAGCATCTTCTTCATCCCAGGAGTTTTGAGAAAACAAATGTAATGTTCTTTGAACATACATTATTTCCGGAGGGGAGACAGTGCCGACACTTGGAGCATGAACTTGAGATGCTTGTCCAAACAGGTATAATTTATTGTAGGTTGGGTACACGACCGGTCTCAATGTTTTTTTGTCCATCCATCTGCTAATAAGCAAACCGCTTGCATACCTACGTCCTCTGAATTGACCATAAAAATTCTTCTTTTCATGATCTTCAAAATTGTACTCCTGGTTTTGTATGGTGTTGTCACCATAAACTTTACGAACTCGTCTGGCATCAAAAAGGGATCACGGAGGGGTGAATTGGCCTGTTAGCTTTTGAAACTTGATTGCCCGTAAGTCAAGGTGAGGTACTATCAATATCTCACAGTAGTCATTGTTGACTGTAGTGAGAAATGCAATGTCCTGCTTGAACTTCCCTTGTTTAATGCAAATCCATGTGCCTTCGGTCAATCCCTGGTCCCAGGTCACTGTTATTGACTCTTCAATTGGAATCTTGGGTATGGACCTTGCTAGATGCTGCGCATTCTCTAGTATCAGGCATAAAGCCAAACTAGGATCAGCTGCGCTAAGCTACATGCGTCCTGGCAGATGACAATGGAAACTGGCACCTAATTTAGGGGCCAATCACCTTTCTACACTAGCTATTGCAAGACATGAGAAACTGACAATCAAGTACAATAATAATGAGAAATAGAGCATGTACCTGGCACTGTAATTACAAACTCTGGACCATTTGGTGGAAGTTGTAACCATTCGGGCCCATTCACAGAGTTGAGTGATTGCTCCGTAACTGTTGAGCCGTCATAAACAGATGAAGACCTCCCAACAGAATTATGGGAGATAGTGTTGAATGCTGCATTTCTAAAGGTTTGAATTGCGGAGCTTGCAGCAATGTTGTCTTCTTCTGCGTCAAAGACTGCCCTAACTATATCCTCCCAATTGTGTGGATGATATGAATCTCCCAGGAGATCTTGAAGCAAACGCTCAGCCTCAGGGTATGTATACTCCCCAGCCCCCAGTGTTCCAATATATTCCAGGCTTCAGGATTCAGGTTCACAGGATGTGACGTGGGAGATGGAGCCATTTCTGTGTACCACTGCTCTATCCACTCTGCTATACTTGACCATCTCTCTTTTGCATAGCTTTGAGGGCTGGAGATCATTAATAGAGTCGAAGACGAAGCCCCTTGTCCGGTAAGAATAGTCTCATCAGAAACAATGAAATCATCTAACTACAAGTAAATATTAAGAACAAAGCTTAAGGGAAGTGTCTAACCACTTGCTGAGAGCTATCAGGGACTGGAACTAGAGTCCAATGTGAGTAACTGTATTATTAGAGAGTATAACAGGTATACAGTACCTAGAGTCCAATGTGAGTAACTAGAGAATAGGAAGCATTGAACTCTGCAGTACTGTCCGATGTTTTTGTAAACAAAGGTAAACAAAGGAGCCACAAAGGCAAAATAATAGAGAACACAATCAATAGTGAATGATAGAAGAATAGATAGAGAAAGGAATGAAAATATATAGGTAGCACAAAGGTGCAGAATCACCAAAACTAACAGTAAATACGCGCTCCTCGAGTAAATTTGAATCTTACCTTCTTCTTCCAATCTGTCCTCCTCCCCACTCTCATTGTCATGGGCTTCTATATGAAGAAACTGGAGAACCTGTGGAATGCAAAATGGTGAGGGATAGTAAGTCAGATAGTAAGTAACTTACATTGCCCTATACTTTTCTTCGTTTTTGCTGCTCCTCATCAGCTACACAATCATTTGCTGCACGCTGTCGATGATGAGAACTGTTGTTAGAAAACCACACACAAAACAAACTAACACACAATCCTCCCAGATTCCACGGAACTTGTTTATGGGCTTTGCCTCCTAGAACAGTGGAGTGGTCTGGTTGTTCGTGGGGTGGTACGTATAAAGATCCTTCAAAGTAAAACCCAGTGGTGTATGAGTGTGGGTTTTGAGGAGGAGGGATAGTTGAATTTATAGAAAGATAGGGGGTTTGTGGCGAGTATAGACGAGCACTACCTTGCTAATTGTAGCACAAGGTAGGTTTGAGAACAACGAGGATGACGAGGTGACGAGGTTCCCAGTGATAGCAGGCTCCTGATGCACAAACTGTAGTGCTCAGAAGGACTCTAATCGAAGGGGATGACAATCACTTTCAAAAGTGACGAGTGACGATGACAGCAGTTAACAGTGGTAGAAGTGGGAAGTGTTGTGACCACACTGGATCACAAGTAGCAGTAAGAAGTGGACTTAAGATTAGAGAAGAAGTCTGGAATCGAGTTCTTTGTTGTTTTTTTTTTACAAGGTAAAATACAGGGGTTTATATAGTAAAAGAGAAGTAGGCTATGCACAGTATA